AAGCATAGAACAACACAGCCTTAGTAACCAGTAACAAATCTGCAAATATTTTTAAATGGTACATTATAATTTGATAGGACATAATAAGCCAAATTTGCAAAAGAGGCTATATTTTATATTTTCATCTAAAATATTCACTGGCTGGTATACATGTGTAGCTCCAAATGGAGAAGAACAAAAGACAAAAGCCGGTTGCAACCTTCCTCCACCTCAACATATGCTATAATTTTGCACAAGTACATGTTAGGTATGCATTTAATGCATATGGAGAAAGTAAATCAATGAAACCAACTCTTTTAAAAATCTGGGAGTGGTGATTTTTGCACAAGGAAAATACAGAAAGCTGGAAGTGTAAAAGTTTCTGTGTAAGTCTGACATTTCAAGAACTGGTATCCTTCTGCCCCATTGCTGGATAAACAACTTTCTACAATCTTATTAGGGGAAATGTTATACCCTGGTATCTTAGCTGTCATCTCACATTCCCTAAGGAGTTGTATATCCTCTGTGAGTGAGATTGGCACAGCAATGTCAGGGATATGGATGCTTAGTTCCCATTATTGTTGCCGAGGATCTAATCCCTTTGTTAAGGGATGTTAGCACCTTCTGCAGATTTTGTGCCTTTTGGCTCTGTCGTTTATTCTCCCTACCTCTCAGTATTTCCAAGAAGTCTTCAATCTGCTCTTGAAAGGGTCTCTCATCATTGGTGCACTTTGTAATCTTTCAGTGAAAGCCCTTAAGTGGCTGCAAAAAAGCTACTTCTTACAAATGTTTTGACACACATTTCTACCTAAAAGCCTGGAGAAGCCTGTACTGGAGAAAAACAAGCCTCAGAGGTAATAGAGAAGGAATATAGATTATTCAGATGATAGCACAGACATCAGGACAGAAAATTTTGAGCAATCTGCAAGGCTGTCTGAATTAGACTAAGTATTTGCACTATTCTGGCCCCTGGACCTCAGTAGAACTTCCTGACTGACAAATTTGCATTTGATCTTCTCCTTCTCGGGTGTCCTCCTTCCTCACCTTGTCTACACCAACATAAGAAAATAAAAAGTACCAAGACAAATGCGACAAATGCTTAAATAGAGTTCCTCCATCTCCCATGTTTATATTTTCCCTATTCAGATTAAGTATAAAAGAATTTAAGCATGGGTGTAAAAGCATACATTCTCAGCCTCCAAACCAGGGAACGTAACTTGGCTCCTTTCATTCACTACACACACAAAGGCAGTTAAAGGTAAAATCTCATTCTGTGACATTTAACCATCTTTGCAAGGCACCCTCAGAACAGCTTGAGAAGGTCTGATGCCCCGTAATGATTTCATAGTTAATAATACATTCACATATGTGTGTCCACATTTTTGTGTCTCTGTGCATACACAAAATGTTCATGTCAATGTATGGAACAGCAACAGCATCATTTTCAACCTTACTTAACAAGGCTATCTAGTATAGATGACAAGTTTCAGGACTTTGAATTATGTCTCTTCTTGTTCTTAGTACGGTTTTAACTGTCAATGTTAGTAAGTCGTAAATATGAGAATAATGCAATAAGGGCTACCACAGACACCCACTTCTGTATTACTTTATTTTTGTTCTGTATTTAAAGTATCTGCACATCTTCATGCATTTCCTTCCTCCTCACTGTCAGACACTGAGGCTCTCAGTTTTTATCTAGGTAAAAAGGACTGGCATTCTCTAAAAAGTCCTAGGTACTTCTACTGAGTCAAGTTCCATGTATCTGCAGTCACATAAAGACAGGGAAAAATGGAATTTTAAAACATGCTCTCAATATTCCTAAACATTCTCTTTACCCTTTCTCACTGCTTTCTCCACAAACACTTATGCCCATTGGCCACAGAGAATATTAATAATTTGCAATATTCCATAGTGTTAGAATCAGCCCCCTAAAGATCAGTGGTAGTAAATCTTCCTGAAGAGCTTCTCCAGCCTTTCTTGAACACTGACACACAGACAAGACACACACAGAGACACAGACACTCACACACAGCTGTTTTACAACTAATGTGCACAGTACATATGCAGACCTGCCATGACCATGCCAAATACCCTCAAGTACATGGGACGCATGAGGGTCATGCTGGAGATTTGGCTTTCAAGCCTTCTAAAAATACTTTGCTGGCACTGTCACATCTGTTTTAGATGCCCAGTTCTCATGGCTGACACAGAACTGACCACAGATATTATTTATGTTCACTCACTCTCCACATAAAAACCCACGGTTTTGACATAGAGATAACTTTTGAAATCTTCAAAGCAACTTGCTTAAAGCTGCTTCTCAATCCTCTCAATAATCAAGAAAGTTATTATCTTAATAATCAAACAAAATCCAACACTATCCTAGATTAATTATGGTGAAACCAATGGGTTTCTGTGAAACCTGAGATGCAATTGGATTTTTATTTTCCAGGTAGCAATGGACACAAGAAAAAACAACACATAAAGCATTCCTTCCTATGCAAAAGCTAAACAAATCTGCCAGAATTTAATTGCGCTAAGGAGACTTTAAAACATAATTTTCTGTCTTCACCTTGGGATTACCTGGAAATAAAAATAGATTAAAAATAAACCAAGAAAGTTTGACATATAAAAACACTATGCATGTTCAAAGATAAGAAAACCATATTTCTACTGTTTCATATCCTATACAATCTGTTGACTTCAGAATGCTTGACACTGGTGTACAGGATTTTGCTGCACATCCTGTAAGAGCACTGTGCAACAGAAACTCCATGCAGAAATGGTTGCATGCTGCCTGGTCTGTCTGATATTGCTGATACCTTTGACAGGAATACTTATTAGACCAGGTTAGCAGTACACAAGAGACTCCATTTATACCTATAGTTGTCTTCAGGACACTGATCATATGTTGTAGACAGCAGTTATAGTCCATCCACCACATGTAATCACTTGACACTTTCTGAGAAATTATTAAAATCATTGCTTGAGAATGAGCAAAGAGACAAAGAAAGGAAACACCCTTTTAAAAATGATAAGGATGAGATCACATCCTAGATCAAAAGTACATGGGAGCAAATTGTCTGACCCCAAATTATAGGAATAATCTCTCTTTACTACTCCACTATAGTCTAGCTTGACCTGTGATCCCTGAAATCAGCAGGAATTCTCATAATTTATTTTATAAAGGGAAGGAATCAAATGTTGAGCATGTCTCTTTTACGGGCATCAGTAACTAATGTTGAGGGGAGATTCTCAGCATCCATCTTAGTTCTATGTGGCAGTTTCATGAAGGACTAGAATGTTCTATCTTAGCTCAGTAAACACTAAGGACTATGGTCCTACTCCACAAGTAGGACCATACACCTACTAAAATTTTGCTACCAGGGATAATATCTCCTCAGGGAAATGTACCATATAGGTACATTTGCTCAGGCTAAGGGTGGCAAAACCTGCCCTGCAATCTCTGGATGTGATTATGCTCTCTAGTTTATTCCTACACAACCTACTTCAAAAAGGTCAGGAGATTCTGTCCTGATTCTGGAAAGTATCCATTAGCACAGAATTAGAACCCTGTTCTTGCTATACATTAAAAATGAAGGAAATTCCTCCACTATGAACTACACCCACAGTAACATCTGTGTAAAGTAAAAAGAAGTAACTGATGTATTTTCTTCAGATCGCAGTGGTGCCTGTCATTTTCACTCTTGAATTCTGGTACCTGAATGAAGTCTCTCAATGATCTTTGCTAAGATGGATTTGCCTTTTTTATTTGTTTGTGACATTTAAAAGCAATTTAGAGTTGCATGAGACTGCTTTGAGTTCAGCTTTATCATATTATGGAGACTCAGGACTTTGTTGCATCTTTCCATTCCCTGTCACCAGCAGCCCACGACTACAGGTGACTGCCTATTTTCCAAGCATAAGCACAAGAGAAAAAGAGCAGAGGTGACTGGACGGGGGGCAGCAGAAAAGTAAGTTAGGTCATTCATCAAAATGGTGAAACTCTTGACAAGGTGAACTCTTTAAAAGCCACAGAGCTCTGTATATCTCCTTGAGCCTTTTCTGGATACTTTTCACTGACAGTGCTGAAAAAAGTGTATATGCTGTGAACAGAATCCTAAGGCAAATTAAAAGTTTAATTAGAAGATCAGTTTCTCAGGAAAACATGGTAACTTGGAAAAATGTCACCATATCCTAGATCACTACAGATAACAAGAAAGCAGAATCTAAAGTACAAAATCTAAAGGAGAGAGGAGAAACAAATAGTTACTAAGCTATTAGGGAGAAAGGCTAAGTTTGCCAGCATCTGAAGCTTTTCATGCTAACAAAAGGAAAAGGATTTTTCAGCAATTTTGAAGTGTCCAGATCTTTTGAAATCAACAAGTTAGACATCTAAATACTTATATTGGCCCACAGGTTTAACCAGCCTTTTATGGAAGAGCAAGTGAGAATAAAGATTATTAATTCACTCAATGGGGCAGCCACGATAGTGATGGGGAGCTGTGATGATTTCACAATCTCAGGGTCCCAGCCTATGTCAGTGTGGTAGCAAGGTATGACTTTGCTTCTCACTACCTTGTAAGTGAACCCACCCATTTTTAACAACCATTTTTTCATAGCAAATATCTGTTTCTTAAGTTTGCCAAGATCAATTGAGAAACTCCATACAATTTTCTTTTGGGAATTGATATCTTTTATGCTCATGGGCCTCTTTGAAAAAAAAACCAAAGACATTAATTAAAAAAAAAGACTTTTTGAAAAAAACAAAGACATTTATTAAAAAAATCAGTCATCTTCCCAACACATAACATACAATGCTCCAGAAAAATTTTAAAACCTCAAAAGGACTTCAGATTATCATGACAATAATGTAGTGGGATCCAACCCTAACTGTGTCTGTATTTTAAAGTCAATAGAATATAATGTGTAACATTTAATTATTCTTTAACTAAATAAATGCAATTATTATTTTCCCAGTAATTTTTCTGAACAAGCTGAAAAATATACCTCATACCTACCCATGCATTCCTGCAATTACTGATGGGGCTGTTGACGGAAGATTAGAATTTGCTGGGTGAGTTGCTGACCAATGAACCCTGCCAGAATATCCAAGAATATCTGGAGTGCTAAAGGAAATAGTTAAAAGGGGGATGGGATAGAGAAAAGGTAAATTAAATGACTATAGGCTTGACATGAGACTTATAGATAAGTTCTAAAATGGATAAGGTTTATCAAAGATGGATGGGGTAAAATCTCTTAATAATAAAATGAGAAGTGCTTAGAATGTATAAAGTGTCATAGCTTCTTTAAAGTCAGGGAAACAACTTTATAATGATCTTGCTGAGATCTGGGCTCAAATCTCTGGTTAGACATTATAAAGTTGAGCTCTTTAAAGAATTCTTTTTTCTTCAATCTTTAGGTTTAGTATCTGTATAATATTCATGATTAGAAGCAACATTTAATCACAAAGAAGAAATGAAATCACAGAGTTTGCATAGACCACAGAAAGCAAGGACATATTCTTTAAAAATGTGATACAGATTTAGCTCATATTTAGTTTCCAGCTTCAAATATGAAATTTACATAACAGATTTCAAGCCAACAGGTGTGATTTCTCATGGGCTAAAACATAAATGATTTCCCAAATTATTCTAAGGTTCTCTAAATTTTCCTTAAGAATTTATTAGGGTGTAGTAGTAACAACACTTCTTAGACACCAACTTAAATTCTAGTGTGAGTGAACCACTGATCTGAGACAGTATGCACCACATCTTGGAAAATGAAAGTCTTTTGTTAATTCTGATGCTGTTTTAATGTGTGGAGTAAAAAAACTCTACTTATCTGAAGCAGTACAAAGAAAATTTCGATAACAGTTGTTTCAAGATGAAGCAGAGATGCACAAAATTAAAAAAAAATAGGTAATATGAATTCAGATAAACCATGAGTATTAGAAATAAAACAATATAAAGCCTCAATATAGTACTGTTTTTGCAACTAAAAGTTTTTCAGAGTATCATTGATATTGTTCTGTATTGACATCTTAAAGTAGGACATTGTTGGACTATACAATTAAACATAGGACACACATATGCATATACATCCAGATTGCCCATACCCATGGAAGTTAAAGGCTTACAACAAGCTGTTTCATCAGCTGACTCAACTAAATATTTGGGATTATACACCTCACCTCTGTTAGTCATTTGTGGGTCTTCACACCATGTAGCACTGATAGCAGTGCTTCCTTTCAAATAATTTTTCAAGTATTCTTCATCTTCCCTGAACTCTGTGTAAAAACAAACAATTTCTTTAATTATTAAGTGCATAGAGTTACTAGTATCATGCATGTATTACAAGTATCATGCAGCTGATGAGCTCCTACTCTATAACTAAGTTCAGCAGGGGATGCAAAATGGACACATGTGAGAGATACAGTTTATCAGACTTTGTGTACAATCTCTGACTTTTGTAGTGGGAAACTTGGCTCTGAAATTCCTCACCAGAATAGCAGAGGTGATGACAAAAAACTGTATCTACCTACCATAGTTATAACACAGGACTCTGTGTTTGGCATGGGAGCAATGGTGGTATCTGTTGTACTCCTTGCACCCATAGTTAGCAGAAGGACCACCTAATTATCTATTTCAGTTTGGAGTAACCTTGCACTAGCCCATATCTTCTTATGCTGCTACACTCCCTGTGCCCAGCTCCAGTCTATGATTCTCCAGAGAGGATGGCTTTGTAGAATCAGTACAGAGGTTGTGGAGCACTTGGGAAGCTGTTGCCTATAGGGAATCACTGAGTAGTTGGCTGGGCAAGGAACAAATTTGCTCTCTGTCTTGACAGCAGCTGTGCAGGGGCAACAAGTGGCTTGTAAACCTTTTACAGTAGTAGAACATGTTTTCAGAATTGGCCAAAATGGGTTGCATTCAAATTTGCTTTTTCATGTCAAAGTAGTCAACTGTTAGGTTAAGTGCACATTACATGACTGTAGAAAATTTTTTCTGTATATCAGGATCCCACCAAGGGACACAATGGATATTGGGTTGTTGTGACTGCAAGCACACAAATTCATCCAAAACTGAAAATCTATCTGAAGGAATATGTACCACTCTGAAGGAATCAGTCAAACTATGAACCCAGTTTTATTACCGTGGTAATAGGCTACGTAGCAAGATATGTCTGCCACATGTCATGAAATTCCAGTGATTTCCTTGGAAGTGTATGGGGGTCACAAAGAGAAGTAGATGACAATAAGAAGTCCTGTAGTAGCTCCCAGCATTTTATGAGCCTATTTGAAGTTAAATAATATAATAATTATACTGTTATATTATCATAATTTTACATATTATATTAACTATATACTTTAATATTCTATAAAATACTTTTTATATTTTATATGCTAATATTTCTATATTAATATATTAATTGCATTATTATGCAGTTATATTATTATAATTATAATAATATAATTGTAACTATATAACTGTGAGGAATCTGATTGATAAAATCTTCTCACCTTTGAAACTTGCAAAAGTAAAAGGTAAAAGCATTATAAATGGGCAAATGTGACCCAAAAGTCAATCTGTGAAATGACCCAAGGTGAAGACTTGTTCTAGACTGTCTGTTAGAAACAACTGACAGAAGCTGGTACATTCATAAGGTGTGGGATGAATGTGGATCTGTAAAAGAAGAGAGCTGAACAGAGAGAGGCTAAAGGTAGCAGGAAAGTGAGCAAGGTTACACTACAGCAAAGCAGCTGCTCTCCTGGGAACCTGCAGAGAAGATGCAAAACTGTGCTGCGGTTATGTAGGTGATAAAGCAGAAGAAACTGAGGTTAAAAAAGTACCCCTTTGTGTTTTTGTTTTTTTGGATCATGCCGTCTAGCTCTTGTGCACTTTCTCTGATGAGCTGCTAACCTATTGCTGCTGCTGAAGAAAACAACTAAGTGCCAGCCTACCACTGGGCAACACACAAAACTCCTCTGTGGTTGTGCTGCCGTCATCAAGCTTTCTTTCTGTAACCATGACATCTTTCTTGTTCATAACTTCCTTGTTATCATCCTAGCAGCTCTTAGTCAACAGTAACAAATATATAGTGCTGACAGTTGAATCTGTGCAGGCATTTAGATTTTTCAAGTGAATTGTAGTGATTCTGCCAGCCTCTGTGTTGGTGTGCTTCTGCTTTTTATGTCCATAGAATCATGGAATCACTAAGGTTGGAAAGGACCTCTAAGATCATCAACTTCACTGTTAACTCAGGACTGCCAAGCCCACCCTAAACCATGTCCCCAAGTGCCACATCTACATATGTTTCAAATCTCTTCAGGGATGATGGCTCCTTCACTTCCCTGGGCAGCCATATTTTCTTATCCTGTTGCTGGTTACCTGGGAGAAGATACTGACCCCCTACCTGGCTTTTAGGTAGTTGTAGAGAGGGATAAGGTTCCCCCTGAGCCTCCTTTTCTCCAGGTTAAACAAACCCGGCTCCCTCAGCTGCTTCTCATAAGACTTGGTGCTTCAGATCCTTCCCCAACTTGCCCTTGTCTGGACATGCTGCAGCACCTCAGTGTCCTCATTTAGTGAAGGGTCCAGAACTGGACAGTGGATTTGAAGTGCAGCTTTTCCATCTTGGGATGTCTTTGTAGATTTTTATTTCCTGGCAATGATCAGGAAGATCAATATGGATTTAATTTAGTAGGCCCTCCATACTGATATTTAGAGCTATTTGAGACCCCTTAAGGTCTCTGAGATAATTTTCTGTAACACAAGACTCACAGGGGATACATACTGTTCAGAAGCAGCAGCTGGAAGTGATGGTCTATAGTGCCTCCAGGGTATTGGATGCCCAGGTTTGCCATGTAAATTCCACATCACCTGTTTGTATGGGAGTAAAATACAGATTTTCCCCAAATAATCTGTAATTTTTGAAAACCTTGGATCTAGCACTTCAGTTTGAGCAATGGAGGTATCCCAGCTCTTTGTGGAAAAATTCTATCTAGTGGGATACCCAGTAGATTCTTACCTTAACACTTACAAGCAAAGAGTTCCTAACATCCTTCTCTTCCATATAAACACCCCTGTAAAGATGCAATAGAACTAAATCACCATATGGAGTCATTATACTTCTTTTGGTTTTTGCTACTATAGAATAGGCCTCTCAAATCTCACTCACAGTATATAAAGCTGTATAACAATTGGTTTCCACCTCAAATTCTCTTCCAAATGTAACACATTTGTGCCCTTGTACATCCTTTTTGCCTCTGTGATATTATTTGCCAAACAGAACAACCTGTGGTAAAAATGTCTCAGGCATGATCCTGTGTCAGGAAATTCATACACTCCTTTGTGTTGTGAAAGAACATATCTAAGATTACTTGTGAAGACAAAACAAAGTGCTTTAATGCAGAGCAGAGAATAGGACTGACAGCATTCTGGGTGTCATTTCACACCCATCTCCCTCAGCCATCAAAGCACAATAGGGAATGGGTACTTAAAAATGGGTTTGGGGTTCCTGAAAGATAAAAACATCAAATGGCAACTCCCCCAAATATTTTGAATCATGTTGGACTGGAAAACTTTGTTCCTACAATTTCAAACAATTTTATTCTGCTTTCAAAATTTTCAGTCCACCTTTGTATTATGGGGCAATATTTTTCAGACACAATAAAGGATTTCAAGGCAGCAATAAAATCTCATTTGGAAAAGGCCAAAGTAGGATATTTCAACACACACTTGCCTCCACAGTCCCCTAAACGAGTCAAACTGGAGAACTACTAAACAGGCATGTATGGTAGACAAGCTGTCAGCTTCTGAAGAAAGAATACTTTGTGAGAAAGCTCCACAGCCACCCTTGGAAATGACTGTGCAAGGTGCAGGACAGCAGAGGGTTCTGTTCCCAGCTAATTAAGGCCCCTGGGGTTTTTGATAACTTGAATTTCCAAGGGATACATGCACATAGACAGTTGGAAACTGAATACACTGAAGAAATATGTGAAGTCACTACAGATGTACTGATATGATAGTAGCATTTTGCTCAATGTACTTGAGAAACCATGAATAAAGGGTAGTTTCAGAGAATATCTTTGTGCAAGAACTGCAGGACTTGAAACACTTAGGACTTTGTCTTCCTAGCAACTGCATGTTTCCCATTTCAATCAAATGCTTTTGATCAGATCCTGTTGTTTTCCTCACACACCCAACGCCTCTGGCACTGGACAAGTCACTTCAGTCTTGTCAATCTGTACCTGTCAAAAACCAGCATTGTAACCTGTTTTACCAGCGTTCTGGCAATCATTAGCTGATGTTTCAAAAGCACTGCTGTGTAACTAACCCTTGGTGAGAATGCTCATGCATTGTGTAAGCACTGCCCTCTACCGTGGATTAGGAGAGCTGAGGATTGAGTAGAAAGTTTTGAAGAGATGAGACTGCCCCATTTTTTACTTAATTGAGGAGGCAGAGGCTTGTACTGTGGAACAAGAAAACATAATCACTGTCCGAACTGCTTTTGTCAAATGCCAAGAGCAGATTCCAGTAGGCACAGCAGTGAAACAGGAAGTTGTTGTAACACCAAAGACATACTAAAGAGAGAAGCACAAGTCAGATATAGGAAATAAACCTGGATTGATATGAACTGTTGCTGTACAGGCTGGAACGCACTAAATGTGCTACACTAGTACTACATTAAGTCCTGCCAGCTCACTGAAGGGTGAGGGAGCTCTAACAATATCAGGGAGAAGAGTTATCTGCGCCTGTCAGGCCAGAGCCCAGCCCCTGAATGCTGCAGAGGAAATCCCCACCACCAAAGCGTGGGAGGCTTTTTTCCATTGACCCTTAAAACACCTGCAGAATCTAAAATACCACATAGAGCATAACCTTGTTTCAGTAGCTGACTGGGGAAGAAGTCGACAGAGGAAAAATGCTGGTGGCCAGGGGTGAAGTAGAATTATACAAAATAAAACATGCATATAAATATTTTTAAGAACAGCAGATGATTATGTTGGAAACCCACATGATCCAATAAAAGCAGTTCATCTACAGTTTTCAAAATTGTTCAGTTCAAAATGCACTTCTAAATAAGAAAGACTGTATTTCAAAGTAGTTGTTTATAAAAAGAAACAATGATTTGGGTCATTAGTTATTTTCACTTTTCAATAACATGGCACCTCTGAAAAGTGCTTAGAGAATTTATCAGTCTGAGCCTTCCTGGAAGTCACTGTAGCTCTGCTGCAAAATTTCCTCTGAAAACACAATGTTTTTCCAGTATTTGGGCTGTCCTCCTCTTCCTTGGTGCCTATGTGGGTTGGAGCAGCAGTTAGACACAGGAGATCAGATTGTGGTGTTTGTGGCCAGATTTTCGCAGGAGCTTAGTGATCAACGTGCACCCAGAATGTGAGTTCTTTCAGAATTCTGGTTTTCATGTGTGGTTGCTGAACTATTTTTGAAAGCCTGGCTAGCTGCACAAAACATACCCATTTAGCACTCACTTGCTTACCTAGCTAATACATGGGTAGTTACGTGACATATAAAGCCAAATGCTGTATTTATCTTCCACAAATAAATTAATATTATAAGGGAATTATTAACAATCAAACTACTAAGAAACAAAGCAAAAATAACCAAGGAAAACAGACACAATCACTTCAGAGTTTAAAGCCTTGTAAAAGAAATCCAAGAGGCCTCAGCTCTGCAAAATATGTGAACAGATTTTCAATCCTATCCTTGATCAGGAAATCTGGTTAAGCAGATACCTTTAATTCACTGATTCCAATGGAATTTACACTTCATGGGTTTGAAAAAACAAGAATGCAAATATAAGAGATTTTACGGTTGGCAGACAAGTAGAGAGGGTAGGAAAAAAAAGAAGAAAAAGAAAGCATGGATTAATAAAATGGTGCATTTCAAAATACCACAAAAGCCACTTGAGCCACTGGGCAACTGTTATCCAGTACATCTATAAAAATCACACAAGCAACATACATTGAAAATAGAAAAATATCAATGTATTCAGCTTGGAACATACCTCATTAATTGTTGGAATAAAAAGATAAGTTTCAAGCCTACACCACACGTATTCTGACAATGTAACCTACTCAAGCACTGAGCTGTACAATGGGATTATAAGTTTTCTTAAAAATTTTTTGAAGTCTCTTGGTGAAAGAGGACTCCATCAGAGAGAAATTTTCAGAATGCTGTCCCACAACAGCCTCCTAATTTTTTGACTGCCACTTTCAAAAAAATAACTTATCTCTATCTTACCCTTGACAAAGATATGGTAGAAGATTCCAGCTTTTAGGCATACATTGCAGCATATCTGGGGATGAAAAAAGCAACAAATTCATTGTAAAGGAAATTCAGTACTGCATATACAAACCATGGATATTAAGAATGATGCTACATTCCAGGGCTAGAACAGACCTCAAGAGACTCTGCCATTCATTATTTTCCCCAAAGACAGGTTTTAATAAAAGCCTGGAAGAGAAAGAGAAGAACTGAATTATGATCCAGGATTTTTGGTCAAGTGCAAAGATGACCCAAAGCTCTCTTTGGGATATTTTCACTGATTATTCTAGACTGCCACCAGATTACCCACACAGTTATTAATAAGTTCATATACATAAATTTAGCACTTCTAGATGAATCACAATATTTATGGCATGGCTTTTTACATGTGCTGCAAGCTCCCACAGTTATTCCATATCTGAACGACTGAGAAAAGCTGGATGACACATGATTATGATTCCTAAATTTTCATTTTTATTTCAACCTAATTTTTAAGAAGTATGACCATCACTTTGTCCTAATTAATATTATATGAAACCAAGTTTGAGCAAAGAAATATTTTAAAAGCATAAATATGATATTTCAGTTTAAAAAACAGTGTGTTTGGGCTTAGGATATGTGAAGCCTTTTTCCTAACTGTGCTACAGATTCCCAATGGGAATTTGGTGAATGACCTTATCACATTGCACCTGGATTTACATCTGTAAGACTACCAACTTGCATGGTAAGGACTTCACAATATAATCTAGAGTGCTGGATATATGTACAGCAGCTCTTCACAACACTGATCTTGTATTAGGGGCTTTTAGGCTCAACTATAGCTCAGGTTAAGACTTTTATCTTTTTTCTAATTCCTTAAGAAAAAAAAAACAAAACAGAAGATGGTTTCCTGTTCTGCCAAAAGGAAGAGAGGGTGGGTGCAAGGCTACCAGAAAAAACATGCCCAGGTTCACCACTCTTCCTGTTTGTCTCTGCAGCTACATGACAGATGACTCTTAGTGACTTTCAGCTTTGCTTATAATTTGAATGGCAACCACTTTCTTGCATGGTTTGGGGAAGAACAGTGTCTCACTCTGGAGTAATGCCCGGGCACTGATGCTGTTGCCCAAGTGCTGCAAGCAGGAAGTGCTGCTGCTACTCTGTGAGAGTGAAAGTGACTATTTACTAAGAGAGCTTTATACTTTATATTTACGAATCATATTTAGACTTCTCAATTCAAAGTATATATCTGACTTTTCAAGGATTTTGGTTGAGTTTAACAGCCCCTACACACATTTCCAAAATTACTGGCAAACGCACGAAGTGAGAAAAACAAATTATAGGCAAAGTTTATGCCTTCTGACTTCCTTCTTTCTTCTGCTCAAAATCACGGCAATCTTTATGTCTGACAGTCATGGATGGATAACAAATGTGAAAAACTTCCATTTTGCAGATGGAATTGAGTTTCTTACGACTGGGTTTTTTTGAGCTTTGAGATGTCATAATCCTTTTAATCTCAGAGATCTTGGTTTCCCTGTTGCCAGAAATCAATGAAAACAGAAAAATGAGATGCAAGATTCCAGAGAAGGCAATACAGAATCACTTGCTCAGACTTACAAATCCTCCATGTGATGCAAATAGTCCCAGATAGGACGTCTGCCTGCAGCAGAGTGCACACATCTGCTTCTCTTCTTCAAAGTTCCACCATAACAGCAGTACAACCTAGCAGAACTGAGGGTTAATGACTCTATAACTTCACCACAACCCAGACAGCACTATGCTGTATTCTGTATGTGCTGCATTTTGAAAGCACAGCCATTTCTCAATAACCATTTAAAAGTGTTTTTGTCATAATTCAAGCAGAAAAGTTAGATGCAGGCTCTGAGAAACCAGATGACTTGTGCAGAAGGTGAAATAAAATAATCAGAATGGTGCATTATGTCATAAAAACTTGGGATTAATAGCCTTGTTTGCAGTAATATGGATCAAATGTTACCTTATAATCTTACAGTAATTAGCACCTCATTTTACCTGTGAATCTGCTGCTGTATGAAGAATGATGTGCTGTCCCCCACACAGGTAACAGCATGTGATGCACTGCAAAAGGGTATACATTCACCCTGAAACAGATGTAAGAAACAATAAATGAACAGATCCAAGCTGTAGCTCAAAAATTCCAGCTAGTCACAGGGCAGCTCCCAAGAAGCAGGAGTGTTTAGCACATGCTCTGATGTGAGTAATACCCAGCATCAAGTCTTTCCTTCAGAAAGGGAGGGCAATATTTCTACAGCTTCTGACCCTCTACTTTACCCAGTGAAGTATCCTTCCTGTACGTTCCTCACAAATGTGAACTGGGGAAGACCATTTTAAGGACACATAGGAAAGGCTGATGCAAAGAGAAATCCTGTTTAAATAATAAAAAAAAACCACAACAGTCTAGTTTCTCTTTTGTTTTATTATTTTAACTCTTATCATTAAGCTGCTATTTTGCCATTTCTCAAAAGTTTGCAAATAAGCACTTAATATCAGCTCAAGCTACTAAAGACAGGTTTAGGAATGGCTTAAAGTGAAAACCTTCAAAGTTAATGATCTAGCTAAAAATATAGTTTTCCAATAGCACTCAGGGAGCTTTTGCACACTCAAAGGCCATCTAGTGACTGAAGTTAACAATCACACACTTTTGACACGGCAATATTCAAATCATATTACTCATCAAACATGCAACAGACCATTATACTAAAGAATTCTGGAAACATTTGAAGTATGAAAGTATGGCACAGTTTCTAAATAAATATGTTTCCATTTTCTTCACCCAAGATCAGATTTTTACCAGTTTTTCCTTTTCCCAAGTAACAAGAATGCAAGAGGCAATGTCAAAATCATGCTAAGAAGTGAAACACAGTGTGCAGTGCTTGTGTAGTGAGGTTTGGAAGTTTGAACATGGTTAAGTAGGACTAAGTCTACATCAGCATTGCCTTCAAAATTTACTGCAGTAACACAGCAGATAGAAAGTAAATCAAAGGCATGTACATTATTCATAAGACAGCTGGTGGAGGCAGCTGAACCATACGCTGCATGCTCCAAAATTCTAGTTATTTATTAAAATGGTCCACAAGAAAAGAACACAGAGATGAACAACCCTGTGTGCTTGGCATGTCCCAAGATGAAAGCAATCATCTGCTGAACTTGCAGCACATAAAGACTGACAGCTCTAATGCATATGTTCAGAGAGGCTTTCGGGAAAATGGAAATGAGATAGAAATGTGTTATCTCTTGTCTTTTTGGCTACTCTTATCATCAGATGGGGCTACTCTTACAAAGTGGACATAACAGATTCTGAGTTCTAGTTTGGAGGTAAAAAGTTGGAGATACCCACAAGCAAAGGTGACTTAGCATACACTCTCCTCTGCCATCAGAAAATGCCTTCAGTTTAAATAACATAGTCCAGGTACAATTCTTGTGTCAGAAAACGAGAGAGGGACTGCTTGGGCTTAATAAAAAATGGCAAAAGTTGAAACAACCCAAGGACACTGCACTTACATATACAAAGGGATTTGACAGGTTTGAGCACTTTGGCTTACATTTTTAAACACAAAATGGATCAATCACTTTTTTTTTTTCACCAGACAGAACATTCTGATGGAATATTTATGAGGTCCCAAAAGACAGGTGGTGACAAACCAAAGCTTTGCTCTTGGAATGATACAGTGCTCATTTGAATTTGGTAAAAGATTGTGGCAAATATTTAGTTTGGCATATATGCTAAATGAACCAGCTCAGCAGGCAGAATCTTACCTTTTAACCTCTGCTGATATTAGGGCTTCAGTAAATTTCATAGGACAGTATAAGCAAGTTGTCTTTAAAATTTAGCTACTTCCCCTCTGGCAACACTTATTTCATTGAGTTCTTGAGAACACAGGACAATTTAACATCAGGTCTGAATTTCTTTCTTGGTCTGTCCCTGCAACCAACTCTCACCGTCCACAACTACATTCCCTTGAAAGAGCGTCATTCAAGAAACCATGATAGCATTATTTATCTATCATCTATCTATCTATCTATCTATCTATCTATCTATCTATCTATCTATCTATCTATCTATCTACCTACCTACCTACCTACCTACCTACCTATCTATGCTTTTATTCCATCCTGCTGAGGTACCTGTCTTTCCCACTGTATGCCTGACTCTGTCCAGAAACTCACCTATCCATTGAGTTTGCCTGAGCAAACCTTCTGGCTCATAGTCTGGAAGGGAGACATATTCTTATTTTTCTATCATACTTTGACCAACTTTTCTTTATTTGTCTCAACTTAGCTCTTATTTGACCCCTTTTAAGACTTCTGTGACCTTTTCTTGGACTCATCTAAAATGCTTCACTCTGAGATAGATTTGAATAGATGAAATACAGAGTAAATAAAAGACACCAATGTAGAAGTGATAGTTTTGGACAGACAGCAAAAACTCCCTTGAGTTAGTGCATGGGTATGATTACCATGGTGTTTTCATAGATGTCATGTCTTAATGCAAACATCAGATGTAGGAAATCATTCCCTTTACATGTTTCTTCTGTTCTGCTTTTTATATTTAACTCTCTCACAGGAGAAGCATGCAGAAAATATTTTTGATACAGTCATTAACTGAATATCTTAATTTCTCTAGTTGCAGAATGCTGCTGAATTTAGTCTGCTGAGATAATTAACTGTCCACAGACTTCATAAAAGGACTGTTCAGACAACTCCAAGATTCACAAAACCTGAAATTTACAGACCACCAGATCTCTGTGGAGAGGTAAACGATCTTGTTTGGAATCTGTTCCAGAAGCCTCCAACAACCTAAAATCATAATTACGTGCTTCTTGTATTCAAAATTAGCAAATTAATCTGACTTAATAGTTTCTTCAGGCGGCAATCAGAATCAATTGGAAGAATGAATTTTAGTTTTATTAAAAATAATAATTGTTACAGTTTATAATCATACATAAACCAACTTAATGTGAGATTTGTTAAGGCAGATCATTCCTGTCAACCAATTTTTCATCAATATCCCTGAACTCTGTTTTGACATTCTGCATGCATGTCTTCTGTATCAATTTACAGGGAGGGTCAGGGAAAAAATATGAAACATGAAATAATATGAGGCAGTTACTGGCATGTGGTGGTGACCCTTATGTGCACTAGGGATTATTTTTACTTGAAAATATTTTTTGTGCATTTATGCGTATGTCCTACACAAAATTTAGGCTCCCTTTCATTAGCACACCTAAAACCACAGAAAGAAAGAAAGAAATTACAAAGAAATTATTCACTGACTTGGCTTATTTTAGGTTTGGAATTGTATCTCCTTTTTGTGAAATACTGGGAAACAGGATCATCCAACATCTCCCCTGTTGATTTTGGTGTCTGTATTTTAGAAGAAAACATATTATCCCAAGGAACTCCTTTGTAAGCCCTAGATCAACGAATTTTTTAAAGATTAGAGAAAAATTTCCCATATAATCATTAATGAATGACACTGGGAGACAGATATAAGGACTATGTGATGCAGATGCAGAAAGTAACAAAAGTATAGACTTCTTTTTTAATGGGAAATTAAAAGCTGGGGATTATATGTTGCTTGTGAGGGAACAAGTAGTTACTGCACAGGATTTTTCACAGGATTGTCTTCTTAAAAATGGTCTCACTCCCTAAGTGAAAGAGGTGGCTTCCTTTCCAATAAACTTACAGTGGTGAAGGGATTTATTTTGTCTGAACTTGAATAATCAGTTAAGGGAGAGGAGACATAAGTAGAGACTGGATACCAGGCACAGCGTGCTCCTGACAGGTGCTGAAGACAGATGAACAACATGCTCATTTGGAAATTACAGTTTCTCTTCCCTGTCTACAGGGGAAGTGGAGATGAAAGGCAAAGACTGGATACAAACTTGTAGATAACTAAAGTTCATAGATGAATCCTATGCTAAATGCCATTAAACAACAGAAATTCTGATTGCTAGAAAAGTTTTTTGTAGTCTTGTATATTCTGCTACCTAAAAGTGCTTAGTAGCACCTTATAAGATAAAAAAATGAAGTAAAAACAAAAGCAAAAACTGTTTTAAAAAGAAAGAGCTAGTATTTGACTTGTAGACACTGTGCATTGTTTTTGACCCTTGTATTTTAAAATTAGGAATGTTAACTTTAGTAGGCCCAGCAACAGTTAATGCCAAATAAAAGACTTTCAAATTACTTTTCCAGATTCTTTCATTTGATTCTTTGGTTAATTATTCTATTTGTCTTTATATAAAAATGCTAAAGATATTACCATTACTTCTTGTCTCTCTTTTAGTCTTTTGAAAGAAAAGGCTACAAATGACTTGCTGAAAACTACTTGTAACTAAGCATAAACCTCACTAGTTTATATTGGAGAGAACATGTGTGGCAAAATAAGCCACAGAAAAAAACCTAAGTTGTTTAATTAACAACAAATTATTCTGCTATTGGGCAAGGAAGAACAAATGCAAAGTGAAATATATGAACAGTAAGCATGATAAATAATCTAACCCTTAGTGAAAAAACCGTTGTTTTATTCAATGGCACTCAGCCTTAAAGAGATTATTTCAAGTTTTTTACATTATTTCCAGATGACCTATTAGCTTATTAGGCAGTATGCTATTACACATTTTCATTGTTTTATGGGTATTTAATAGCACAGATATTTTTGAATATGCTGCAGGACATTTTTCACAGGATCAAAAAATAAACTGACTTGGAAGGGACCCTCAAGGATCATCAAGTCCAATTCCTGGCCCTGTACAGGACCATACCCAAGAGTCACACCATATGCCTGAGAGCATTGTCCAAATACTTCTTGAAGTCCCTAAGGCTGGTGCTGTTACCACTGTCCTGGGGCCTGTTCCAGTGCCCAAACACCCTCTGGGAGAAAAACCTTTGTCTAATATCCAACCCAATATCCCCTGACTCAGCTTTAGGCCATTGCCTCAGGTCCTGTCACTGGTCACCACACAGAAGAGACCAGTGTCTGCCCTTCCTCTTCCCCTCATGAGGAAGCTGTGACTGCAGTGAGATCTCCCCTCAGTCTCCTTCAGGCTGAGAGACCAAGTGACCTCAGCTGCTCTGCAAAAGGCTTTCCCTCCAGACCCTTCATCATCTTTGCTGCCTTCCTTTGGACGGTCTCTAACAGTTTCACATTTCTTTTTTATATTGTGGCTTCCAAAACCCCCAGCACTCAAGGGGAGGTCACCTCTGTGCAGTGCAGAGCAGAGCAGGACAATCCCCTCCCTTGTCTGGCTGCGATGCTGTCCCTGATGTCCCCCAGGACACACCTGGCCTTCCTGGCTGCCAGGGCACAGCTGGCTCATGTTCAGCTTGCCATCAAACAGGACCGCCAGTTTCCTTTCCATGGCACTGCTTTCCAGCATCTCATTCCCCAGTCTGTTCATACAACCAGAGTGCAGATTCCATCACTTCCCCTTGTTGAACTTAATTTGGCTGGTCATTGTCTGGACATCTAATTTGTCAAGGTCTGAAAGTTTGTAAATAGTTCACTTGTTGTTTTTCAAGTTGCACATTTCTTTTCACTTTACTTTGCATTTTTTTTTTGTTTCTGATTAGACTTTCTTCTTTCTATTTCTACAGGCAGTCAGAACTTTTAACTTACTAAGTACCTAAATACTGCCTAAGGTAACTTTCTATCAATATTTGAAATGGAAAAGAGGCTAGAATCCTGCCTTGAGATACGTCTCAGTCACTGTGATGATTACATCTCTAGAGTAATGATTACTGTGGAGAAAATGCTTACTGCTTCAGCAGAGGAACCACTGGGTTCCCTATACAAAGGCCACAGGGAAATTAATATAATGTGACCACAAATATTTCAGTAAGTTCTGCATTAAATTCTCCAACTAAGCCTCTTAAAGATATAGTAGAAGAAAAATGAGATTTTCTCATGGATAAATAATTGGTTAGAAGATCACAAATAGAAGGAAAGGATAAATAATCCCCACCTAGTTTTCTAGGTGGGGAGAGATCACTGGTAGAGAGACCTCCAGATAACCCATCTGGGCCTATGACATTTTTGCCTAACATATTCACAAATTAGCTGTAAGTAGGGAGCTGGAATGTAAGTGATGTGCTCAAAATACAAATGCATATATTCATGAAGACAAATCTTTGAATCCATGACTATTAACTAAAACACACAATCTCCTGGTCATCAATCCCTGCTCAACAAATCATCTCATGATAGCAAAACATTTGGAGGAAGGATGATGACTTTATTAAATATCCACAGTCTTGGATAAAATGCTGGACTACATGGGCTTTTGGAGAAATCAAAAAATCTAGTAGCAGCATGAGTAAACTACTTATATCTTTTAAAAATGGTTACTACCAAGTCTATAAGTTAACTATAGTATTTCCTATTTCTCATTTCCCAGCTTTGGAGAAAACTGTCTCTTCAGATGTGTTAGCTTCCAGCAGGGGCAAGAAATCATCTCTGCTCTTTACCAGACTTGTCAGATAACCTGGTTCATTCTGCAATCCCCATAACCTCTGTGTTAAGGCCTACAAATAGAACAATATTTACAAACTGGGCGGGGGGAATTAATCACCAGGTCTTCAGTACAAATACACCTGCATGGTTAAATTCTGAGGTCATCCTCCTCCTAACCACTGCAAAGAAAAATTGAGACCACAGAGAAAAGGGTAGAAAATTCTGTTGTCATATGAGTGAGAGAAGGGGACTCTACAGGCAAACACTCTTAAGGCCTGGTCTTCTGGCACAGAGCACCTCCCCTGCATGGAATACATGGAGAATAGCTCCTCAGCTGTTGTCCTTTCTCTGATTCTTCAGTCTTAGAGCAACCTTCTCCAACAGCTTCTCACACTTGCTTTGTTATTACAGAACTTCACAGAGTTTGCTTTGCTCAGCAGATGCAAAAGTCTGCTAGAAAAGTTCAAAGTTGTGGACTGCCAAAGCCACAGTGCTACATCTTCTCACAACAGAGAACTCTATCTGCTGCAGATGTTTTATATACCACAGCTCATCTGTCTCAAAGGCTGCTTCTCTCTTTTTTTTTATGTTCATCCCAGACACCGTGGAGAAAATGACTGTAGAATTTGCTTACAAAATGCCTGACTGATCTCTCTTTCAGCACAACTTCCCCAAATGACTTAGCTGTGGAATGTCTTGGGACTGGTATCTAGAAGGGTAAGCAACTTACATCACATGCCTGAGGGCTGGTAGTTGGGGTCTGAATCATACAGCTAAAATCTGGAATTTGTTTATGCAGTCACATTAAAAATAGTACCTAAAACCCCATCTACTTTTTATATTAATATTTACACATTTGAAGTTAATATCTCAGCATCACAAAAAAAACCCTTGTAAATGCATATTAGGTTTGGAAGAGCACTTACACCATTTGCTTAAGAAATTTATGCTGCACTATATCTGTTTCAAGATTTGTCCCTGAGTTCAGTTTGACTTTTCCTGACAACTTCAGCAGGGTCAACATTTCAGTCTAACAGTGGCCTTTCCTGAACAAAATAACATCAGAAAGCCACCAGACAGTTTCTATC